TGTGTACATGGTGTGTGTGCAGGGGAGGGCAGGTGTGCACATGGTGTGTGTGCAGGGGAGGGCAGGTGTGCACATGGTGTGTGTGCAGGGGAGGTCCGGTGTGTACATGATGTGTGTGCAGGGGAAGGCAGGTGTGCACATGGTGTGTGTGCAGGGGAGGGCAGGTGTGCACATGGCTGTGTGTGCAGGGGAGGTCCGGTGTGTACATGATGTGTGTGCAGGGGAGGGCAGGTGTGCTCCTGTGTGTGTGTTCAGGGGAGGGCAGGTGTGCCTATTTAGAAGGCGGGCCCACGGGGTCTGCCATAGGTCTCTTGGTGATGGTATTTTCTCTGGGGACATTGCTGGGCCACCTTGCCAGGCAGCTGTGTTCTGGCCCCCACCACGTGCACACTCTGCACAGCCTGATGACCTCCGTTGTCAGCCCGTGAGCTAGCAGAGCAGGGACCCTGTCCTGTTGCCCGGCGAGGGGCAGGAGGCTGTCCCAAGCTCTGATGCAGGGGAGTCAGGGGAGGGTGGATGGTCCCAGCTTCCCTCCCACCTCCCTAGCCCCAGGATCCTGGCTACCTGGGGCCACTCAGCATTGCCTGTGCCTCTGCAGGACCTGCTCTGGGCTGCCAGCTTCTACTCCCGCTTCTTGTTGTCCTATGCCCCCTTCTATGGCGTTCCCGGGGCACTGCTCCTCTTTGTCGCTGTCAGGTATGGCCAGAATTGGGGGGGACGGAAAGTGGGGGGGGTCACACTGGCAGCGGGTGCCCTGACCACAGCCCTCCCCAATGAATCTCCATCTCCCCTTCTTCCTCCCGGGGCTGTGGGGATGATCAGTCAGCCAGGGGCATGGGGTGTGGCAGGACCCTGGGGTTGGTGGACCTGGGGAAAGCAGCCTGGCTCGCAGGTGGTGCTACCCCCGTGAGCTGGGCTGCGCTGGGCTCAGTCTCACAGTGGACACTGCTCCGTTCAGCTTCTTTAAACCCCAGGGAGGGAGTAACTCCACAGTCCCATTGTGCACGTGTGGAAGCTGAGGCCCACTTTGGGGGACACCCACACTCCAGCCTCACTGGCAGTGCCTGCATGGTGAGCTGGACATGGGGCAGTGCCTGAGCCTCCCCCACAGGGTCCTAGAGAGCCACTGGTTCGTGTGGATCACACAGATGAACCACATCCCCAAGGAGATTGGCCACGAGAAGCACCGGGACTGGGCCAGCTCTCAGGTGGGTGGCAGGGGGAGGGCATCCTGGTGGTGGTGTTCCAGTGGGGGGCCGTTCTGGGGGTGCCGTGGGGTCAGGGCTTCAGGCCAGCCTCCCTCATCTGTGCCCCGCCTGGCCCTGGCAGCTGGCGGCCACCTGCAACGTGGAGCCCTCACCCTTCAACGACTGGTTCAGCGGACACCTCAACTTTCAGATCGAGCACCAGTGAGTGGGGGCTGTGTCCCGGGGGCCAGGGGCCGGACCCAGAGCCCCTTTGTCATGGAGAGTCCTGGGGGAGGTGGCGTGGGGGCCGGGTCTCCTTCTCAGCTGCCCGCCCGCCCTCTCCCCAGCCTCTTCCCCACCATGCCAAGGCACAACTACCGCAGGGTGGCCCCGCTGGTGAAGGCGCTGTGTGCCAAGCACGGCCTCAATTACGAGGTGAAGCCCTTCCTCACCGCCCTGGTGGACATTGTCGGGTAAGGCTGCGCCCTGCTCCCGGCGCCCACAGGGGTCCCTGGCTGGCGTTTGCGGCCCTCCTGGGCGGGCTGCTGGTCCGCCCTCAGCCGCCACGCCCCCTCCCCCAGCACCTGTCTGCACAGTGAGAACGCAGGGAGCTCTGACAGACGCAACAGGGAGTGCAGGTCAGGGTCCGCTGAGATTCTAGCAGGGGACCAGAAAACAAGCAGTTAAAAAAAAAAAAAAAGAAGGAACTTACAGAAAATCTGAGAAGGGTTTACAGGTAACAATAAAAACCCTAAGAGTGGGGGGCGGATGAGGGGTGCCCTGGCTGAGGGTGGCGGGCTGGGTGGGACCCAGAATCTGACATGTGAGCAGAGACGGGCAGGAGGAGAGAGGCTGGCCGTGGGGGCACCTGGTAGAGGACAGAGCAGTGCCAAGGCCCTGAGGCAGGACAGGGACTGCCTGGCTGGCATTTCTGGGAGATGCTCTGAGTGGGAGACAGGTCGGATTCTGGATCTTGCAGCTCCGTGCCTTTGCACGGCCCCTTCCCTTGGCTGCCTTTCTGCAGAGTTTATGCTCAAACTCCCGCTGCGGTTTTACCATCCTTGCCGGCCTGATGTCTGTGCCCCTGCCGCAGGCACTGTCCTGTTAGAGCGCCAGGCAGTGATGGATATTTGTGGTTTCTCTGCCTGAACGAGCTCCTGGTGGGCAGGTTCCGTGTTCTCTGGGTCGCAGGGCCCAGTGTGTGGGGGGGGGGCAGTGGGGAGAACTGAGTGAAAGATGGGCAGGTTCACCCAGGCTCAGGCCTGGACTTGGCCTTGGCTGCCCCCCGACACTTCTCTCCTTACCCCGACCCCCCAGTTTGGGGGTCCACCATGGCCAATGAGCACCTGGCCGCCTCTCCCATCCACACCCCAGCTGCACAGGGGCTGGAGGTGTCGCCACACGCTCATCACGGGGCTGCAGGAGGAGTGCTGGTCTCCTAACACCTACCCGCCTCCCAGGTCCCTGAAGAAGTCTGGCGACATCTGGCTGGACGCCTACCTCCACCAGTGAAGGCAGCGCCCAGGTGGGCAGAGAAGGGGTAAGGGCCCAGGGCCCCAGCAGCCGCCAGGCCGGTGGGCAGAACGACAGCCCCGTCCCACCGGACCCCAGCTGCGGGTGCCCTGCCAGCGCTCCTGTCTCTGCTGTCTTCCCCTCGGCCCCTCCTCACCTGTCTGCTCCGCCTCCCCACGGCCAGGCCAGGGCTCAGGGGCCCAGCAGGACCGGGGGCAGGGAGGGGGGGTGAGCATGGCATGTTTTCCTAGAGCAAGAATTGGGGGAAAACTGTTATTTTTCTATAAAAACAAAGCCAGAGATGTGACAGAGGAGTGTATTGACTTTGCCTGCATTTGGGAGCTGGAGCCTGCCCTGGCCTCCCCAGAGGCGCTGGGGCTCAGGGCCATGAGGGTGTGTGGAGGTTGGGGGGGGGTGTGGCTGGGGAGCTCTCCCACCCTCACTGGGGGCTGTGGGTGGGCAGCGGGCAGCTGCCCCTGCCCGGGTCCTCCTGAGGGCCCAGTTACTCCCTGGCAAGCTGGCCTCACAGACCCCCTCTGCTTGGTGGGCCAGGGACAAGGGCCACCCCTGCGGGAAGCTCCAGTGCATGGGACGGGCAAGCCGCCGTCTCTGGACCGGTACCAGCATTCTCGGCAGCCCTCTGCAATGGGGGCCTCCGAGGGCACCAGCCCATCTCGGTGCCACGCCCAGCATCACACAGGTAGCCCACAAGAGGAGGCTCCCGTCTCTCCCCATGCCCACCTGCGCCAGGTGCTTGTCTGTCTGCAGTTGCCGCAGTAGATAAGTGGACCCCCGCCCCCCACCAGGGGTGGCTGTTCCGTCCCTCCGTGCCTGGAGGCTGGGACCTGCCCCAGCTGGCCAGCATCCTTGGGCAGGAACAGTGCCCTTCTCCCGGCCTCAGCCTCCTCCTCTGGATGTGTGTGCAGTTGGACTGTGCCCTGGGGTTTGGAGAATTGGGGAGGCGCTCTGAGTTGCTTCCTGGGTGTGTCGATGGTGGACGAAGGGCTGCCGGGCTGCCGGGCCCCTCTCCCGTTGGCACCCACACGGCAGCAGGTTCCGGTGAAGACACCGGGCCACTCAGACAGCAACAGCGAAGACTGAAAGGCCTTTCCCAGGGAGCCGGTGGGCCCTGCAGCCATGGGGACCACCCTGCTCTTTATCCGGGCTCCCGTTGCTCTGCACTGGGTTCCGCTCCGGACAGCAAAAGGGCACAAATCTTGCGATTCTTGTGAACCCCTCCTGGAGCCCAGCACCCACAGGGAAGCAGCTGGGGGAGCTGTCCAGGCGGCCACCGCAGCCCAGCCCTGCCACAGAGCCACCATGATGGCCACCACGAACTTCTCCCCCCGGGCCAGCTAGCAAGCTCCTCGGAGCCAAAGGCCATCAGGAGAGTCCTTGTCACCGGATGCTGGCTGGGGCCAGGGTTCCCATGACAACCCCTGAGTTACTGACTCACTTGTCACTGGAGATCGCGTGTGTTTCCCCAGGGGACGGCAGGGAGACTGGGTGCTGTGCTTTCCCTTCCCTGGATCAGAAAACGAGGGAGGGGGGCTCTGCACAGCTCACGCCCTCCCCCAGGCCTGCCAGCCCGAGCCTCTCTGGGCAGAGCTGGGGTAGTGGAGGGTGGCAGCCCCTTTGGCTTGATCATAACTAGGGGCTTGCCCTCTACCAGGGACCCCTGATGGAGTTCTACCCCTTCCTTTCTGGAGTCAGGTGGATTTGGGTGAGGGTTGCAGGGTCGAGTCCTCTTCCTTTGCCAGGACTCAATGCTGTGTGACCTGGGGAAGTTGCTAAACCTCTCTGAGCTGTGGCCCCACCGCCTAGAGTGCTGGAAGGTAAAAAGGTGCTGCACGGAGGGCTCTTAGCCAAGGGCCCAGCAGCGGGGCTCAGTTTACTCGCAGGTTTTATGCATACTGTCCAGTGCTCCGGGGTCAGTGCTGCCTCTGTGAACAGGGACACGCCTTTTGACAGTTTCATCCTGAGACTGGCATATGCCAGGGCTGTGCCCCCTGTTCAAGGTCTCTGAACAGGCTGTTCCCGCTGCTCGAAATCCCCCTTTCCTGTCCTGCTGGCTCAGCCCATGCCCTGGCAGTCAGCGAGTTCCTGCAGTGGCTCCGATAAGCCTATTAGGGCGATGATAACACCAAGGACTCCTCCCGCCCCACACCCCGCACCTCCCACCCTGCGGGTCCGCCGAGCGTGTGGCGCCACCTAGGGGCTGCCGGAGCCCGTGTGCAGCCTGGGAGGACGGGCTGTGCTCCATGCCGCCCCTGGTGGTGGCCACGGGGAAGACGCCCTCCTGTGGCTAGCAACTTGCTTAAAGCACTCTTGGGGAGGCCAGCACCGGCAGGCCATCTTTGCTCTGTCCCACCCCGGCCCCTACCGCACTCCAGAACTTGGCTCCCCCTCCTCTCTGGATTTCCTCTACAGACACCTAACACAGGCCAGGAAGAGAGGGAGGCCTTGACAGAAGCTCTGTGTCCCTTCTTGGTTGTAGAAGCGTCTGGGGGCCAGGGATAAAGCAGGACTAGGAGAGAAGCCACGACTTGCTCATTTGTTCCTTCAATCAACCCACATCTGCTGTCTACCCTGGGATGGGTCAGGCACCTGCTGGGAGGCGTCCTCCATAACCAGCCCCTGCTGGGAGTGGCAGGCGGGCGGGGGAGGGGGAGGGCACGTACAGCAGGTGCTGGTCCTCCTGCACTGTCCTGGAGCACCCACCCTGCCACCCCCAGGCTTGGCCCTGAGTTCCTGGGGTCCTCCCACACTACCCTGGAGCACCCTGCCACCCCCAGGCTTGGCCCTGAGTTCCTGGGGTCCTCCCGCACTGTCCTGGAGCACCCCCCTGCCACTCCAGGCTTGGCCCTGAGTTCCTGGTTCCTGCCACTGTTTCTCTTGGAAACCTGCTCGAGACCTCACTCCCATCAGAATTCACAGAAATGAGTTTATAAGTGGAGGACAGTGTGGGTGTGACTGCCAGCCAGGTGCAAGTGCGCTGGGTGGCCACGTGTTCTCTTGAGTGGGGCTGGTCTGGCGTGTGGGGCCTGGAGCAGTTGTTTCAGCCGGTGGCCTCCCAGCCCTACCGGGACCCAGTGTGCCACTCCCATCTCAGGAGCCCGGCTGTCCAGAGGGGGCACCCCCCCAGGGAGAGTGCAGCGGGGCCAGAGTCTGGATGGGCCCAAGTCCTCCTCTCTCTTCCCCACTGGCCAGAGGGCTTCTGAGTGTCCAGCTGGATGCCAGAGGAACTTGCCAGGCCGCCGACTTCCTGCCTCTGGTGCTTGGTCCTGCACAGCCTCTTCTGGGCCTGGTGCCCACACCACCCACAAAGATGACCCTTATATGTCGGGAGCCACCCCATCAGCCTGCCACTGTCTCCCCCACCTCTGGCCAGCTGTGGAGCTGGCCTGGAGCCATCTGACCTTTGACACAGTGGGGGACAGCCCTTTCTGCATGGGAAGTCCAGGGCAGATGCACCAACAGACCACAGAGCCGTGTGCCCTCGGGCCCGCCCCTTCTCTGTGGTTTTGGCCTCCTTGCCTCTGAAGGGAAGCTTCAGGATCGGAGCCTCAGCACCTAGAACAGCCGGGGTCACGACTCTGGCAGGGGGCAGAAACACTTGATTCTGGGGTAGGGGGCAACAGCCCCAGCCTCACAGCCCAGTGCTGGGACAGGACGGGCAGCTCGGAGCGAGCAGGCACGGGTGTCCCCAACTTTGTTACCCCAGGCAAGGCAGCCGCTGGGGGAAGAAGTCACAAGGATCCAGGGCGGGGGGCTCTGGGTCGCGGTTTACCTGGTGCCCTCAGAGCTGCAGCAGCCTCCTGGCCTTCAGACCCTGTCCCCCCCACTCCTCCATGTTCCCCTCCCCTATCCCCCAGCTGTCAGCGGTGATGGGCCCTGGACTAATGGTCAGTGAGGTCACCACCGCTGGCCTGCACCATCCTGGGAGACAGGGCTGCAGGTGCAGGCTCAGGTGGGAGTGAGGAAGGCAGGTTCTCCATGGTCTTCCAGCCTCAGAGGGGCTAACTGGGAGGGCCAGAACTGGGCTGCAGCCAGCAGCCAAGAGGGGCACCAGGGAGGGGGAGGCAGGACCGTATTTTGGGGGCGTCTGCCCATGTGCCACAGGGGAGCAGAAGAGGGGGAGAGGAAGAGGCCACACAGGGAGACCAGGCTTCCCTCCTGGTGCCCAGGCACCCACCCCCCCACCGCAGTACCACGCCCGCTAGCTTGCAAGAAGCCATCTGCCAATCTCACTGAGCTACCAGAAAGAATAAAATTACTTCTTTTATTTCCAAAAAACCATAGGGGTGGGGAGGCAACATGGTAGAAATTATGAGCAGTTTCCAGGGGAGTCGTTCTGCCCCTGGGGGAGCAGGCAGGCCCTGGCTGGGGCCGCTGTTGTCATGACAACCTGGAGACGGACACTCGCTGGTCCCTCCTGGCTGGCCGGGGGACTAGAAGGCCTGCCCCAGGCGCCCCCACGCTCCCGTGTTCTCGCTCCGCCCCTCCCCTGAATCTAAGGGTCATGGGTTAGTGGGTTAGATCGTGGAAAGCAGCAGCTCGGACCCCTCCCTCCCTCTTACGTCCCCCTCCCCTCAGCTGCCCTGGCCTCCAGCGCCCACCTCCTCTTCCTCTTCTCAGCTCCACGTGGCCCTCATTGGGCCCCTGTTCCCCTGGCACCCCAGGGTCACCTCCTCCTCAGACTCCCTCCCTCTCTGCTTCCCCAGTCCTCCTAACAGCAGCAGCCCCCAGTCCCCATGGCCCGGTGTGTGTCCCCACCTCCGCCCACGGGGGCACCTGGGGCAAAACCGATGTCCCACCCTCCTCTCCGAGTGCAGCCTGCAGCAGAAGGTTAAAACACAGTCACAGTAAGGACAGCAAGACAGACAGCGCGGGCAGCCCCGCTGTGTGGAGGGCTGTGCCAAGACCTCGCGGTGCTGGTGGCCTCTGGGGAGCGGCTAGCACTGCCCAGCGGGTAATGGAACATTTTGGAGAAGGTCTTGTTGCTCAAGAATCTCAGGACAAAGATCCTCGCTGGGTGGGAGAGGCCACTGCCTCTGCTGTGCCCCCAGGGGCGGGGCTGGCGGTAGTAAGCCCCTCTGGTCCTGAGGCCCAGTGCCCTGGAGTGGGGACGGTGGTGGGCCGGCACCTGGACAAGCCCCAGGCAGGGAGCGCCAGCGGGCGCTGTCGAGCACACTGCCCTGGACCTCGAGGTCTGGGCTGGCTGCGCCGCAGAACCCAGGGCCCTGGGCAGCAGGCAGGAGGGCCCAGGTGCCCATCCCAGCCTTGGGAGGGAGACCTGGAGCACAAGGCACAGCTTCCTACAACAGGCACGTCACCAGCGGCCGTCAGGGAGAGCAGCGCCAGGCCCAGGGGGCCAGGGAGCTTTACCCGGCTAGCACCCTGCCCCACGGACCTGGGAGTCGCGGGACAACAGCGGGGAGTGTGACCCTGGTGGCTGGGTCAAGAGGGGAGTCCCGGGCCTGACCCCTGGGCCTCTGGTACCCTCAGATCTCCAGAGGCAGAGGCTGCAGCAAGGGGTGGAGACACCTCCTGGGGCCACCTCTCTGCTCCGTGGGAGAAGGGGCTGGGAGGCAGCAGGGGGAGGGCTGGGGCCCACCGAGGGCAGGGCTGGGGGCAGCAGGGAAGGGAGAGAAGAGAAAGGAAGAAAGACCAAGCATGGGGTGCATGGGCCAGCGTGTACCCCAGCCTCACGGACACCCCTCGGAACAGAAGCCCACCCCTCCCTGCGGCCGTCACCCAGGCGCCCCTTCCCGGTGGATGCCCCGAGGGCTACGGCCTCATTTGTGGAGGTAGGCGTCCAGCCACAGCTCCCCAGACTTCTTCAGGGACCTGCAAAAAGAGGGGTGGGGAGAAGGCTCAGGGACCAGGAAGCTCTGGGAAGGGGCAGAGTGGAGAGGCCACCAGGAGATGGTCTCCGCTCTCAACCAGGGTTTGCCACTGGCACAGGCAGCAGCTACTAGAGGGGGGCTCCGCAGGGGGGCTCCAGAGGAGAGGAGAGAGGAGGGTTCCTCCACCATCCAGAGAAGCCACGTGATGCCCAGCCACGCACGGGCCAGGGATCGCCTGCCAGCCGCTGCTGCCAACATGCGTGACCTCAGCCCCTCCCTGCACCCACCTGCCGACTCCCCGCCTAACCTGATGATGTCCAGTAGCGCCTTCAGCAGCGGCTTCTCCTGGTACTCAATGCCATGCTTGGCACACAGGGACTTCACCAGCGGGGCGATCTTGTGCAGGTTGTGCCGGGGCATGGTAGGAAAGAGGCTGGGGGAGGGGCAGGTGGAGTGTGAGGACGCCGGGGGCTGGGCTGCTCCCCACCACCCTCTACAGCCCCGGAGAGGCCCAGGCCACAGCCAGGACGGTACTCTGGGTGCACAGCTCCTCCTCCTGCGAGCCTGTGGGGCTCCCCGGCTGGCCCGGGAGGGGGGAAGCTGGGGCCATTTGTAAGCAGGGTGGGCTTGTGCTCTTAGGAGCTGCAAGGACATTGGGCGGCCAGAGACAACAATGTGGTGCTTTTCACAGAAGGAAGTAGAAGATAAGGAAGAAGAGGGAGAGGAGCAGCAGCCAAGGACAAAGCCGGGCAGGGGGAGTCCCTTGGCTCCCACGCTGCATGCGAGCTGTCAAGCCCGCCTCAGCTTGCCCGTCCATCAAGTGGGCTTGAGGACCCCTGCCCTGCAAGCTCTCTGCAACTCCGGCCACCCGTGAGGGAGGGTGGCTGTCACCGACACCATATGACACAGGGTCCAGCAGCACCACACCTGACCGCAGGGAGCCCCTCTCCTGACCGCAGTGGGCTGGCTGCAGAGCCATGACAATCAGACAGGGACCTTGGCAGGGGGACGCAGGGGTGGTCTCACGAGCCGCCCTCTGCCCGCCCCTCCCTCCCACTGTCCGTCTCCCCGCCTCACCCAAGCCCCCGGGGCCGCACTCACTGGTGCTCGATCTGAAAGTTGAGGTGCCCACTGAACCAGTCGTTGAAGAAGGACTGCTCCACGTTGCAGGTGGCCGCCAGCTGTGGAGGAGATAGGAGGAGTGGCCGGGGTAGATCAAAGGCCTGGCTTCATCCCCCCAAGGCCCAGCCTTGCCTGGGGCCTCAGGACCACTGCTGTGTGTCACAGGGTCCCGCCTGCAGGCCTGGGTCTGTCCAGATCCCCCCCTTTCCCTCCCCCACCGCCCGTTCCTGCAGGGGACTCCTGTCACTTTCTCCTTAGCTAGCCCCGAGGCCGCCAGCAGGGCATGGGGAGCCCAGCACAGCCCTGTCCACTGGTCAGCCACATCTGGGACAGGACCGTGGACACTGGTCCTGGCTCTGCAGGGCCTACTTCCCCTCACCTGGCTGCTGAACCAGTCTCGGTAGGGTTCAAGGTCAATCTCCATGACGATGTGATTCATCTGTGTGACCCACACAAACCAGTGGCTCTCCAGGAACCTGAAAGAGAGCACAGCTCAGCGCAAGGACCCCCGGGAGCTCTCCGTGGGGCCGGCCACATGGCAACAGATCCACTCTCCCACCCAGCCCAGAGCAGGTGCAGGAATGGGGACATCCGGGGCTTTCCTCCCCTAGACAATGCCAGTGCTTGGGGTCGGGGGCCCAGGGATCAACCGGCAAAGCTCAGGCACCTGATGAAGTTGAGGAAAAGGAGGGCTCCCAGGATGCCGTAGAAAGGGATGTAGGTGAAGAAGAAACGGGCATAGTAGCTGATGGCCCAGGCCAGGTCCTGCGGGGAGGAAGAGGATGAGGTGCGGCTCCGCTCCACCTGCCCTGGTGCAGCACACTGCCCTCGGCCAAATGCACACCGCAGGCCATGCAGCAAAGGTGTCCAAGAGAAGCTCCCAGAGGCCTCCAGGAAGCGGGGCAAGGAGCCACAGAGAGGCAGCACCTCCCTAACGCTGTCGTCCGCATGCCCGGGGTTTACCCGATGGCCTCGGTTTCCAAGGCGATGCTGAGTATCTCTGTAGCAGCAATGGGACTGTGTGCTCTGCTCTTGGGCACACAGGCAGGGGTGGGCCACGGGTCACCGGCCCAGGGTCAGCCGCAGGGAGGGACAGAGGGCGGCAGCCCCTGCCAGGGCCCAGGGGACTCTGAAGGCGCATTCAGAACATATCCCTCGACTCGTGCCCAGGCCACCGACTGCCCTCAGTCCCCTCCCTGCTCAGCAGCACCTGGGATCTCCTTCCCTGCCTGCGAGGGACCTTGCCCTCCCCTGTCCTCACGGGGGCAGTAACAGGGTCACCTCCTGGGCCAGCACCTCTGCTGTAGCTCTGCCCTCCACCACAGGCCCACTGGCAGGTGTTTTGCAGATATCACGCACCCAGGCCCATGTGTCTCCCTGGACCACAGCAGGGGCCTCCCATTGGTCTCCTGCTGGCCCTTGGGTAGCCATGGCAACCGGAGTGACCTTTGTTCCAAGCAGATCCCATCTGTCCCCTGCTAATGCCTCTCAGAGCTCTGCGGGAGCCACTCTCTCAGTCACCCTGACCCAGCTCATCCGCACCGCAGGGCCTTTGCACAGACTGCTCCACCAAGGATGCTTAGACGGCATCATCACAGGTTCCCGCACAGTGATCCAGGTGGGGGTGGGATGAGACTAAGGAGGCGGGCCACAGCCAGGTCACCCCCATCTCGGGGACAACCATGGGGGAACATCGTCACATTGGTGTCTTTTTTTTAAAGGGAACAGATTTCATGTATTTCATAGATACATTTTTTTTTTAAGATTTATTTTTATTTATTTGAAGGAGTTACAGAGAGACGTAGAACCAGAGAGAGAGGTCTTCCATTCTGCTGGTTCACTCCCCCAAATGACCGCAACAGCCAGAGTTGAGCCAATCCGAAGCCAGGAGCCAGAAGCTTCTCCCAGGCTTCCCATGTAGGTGCACAGGCCCAAACACTTGGGCCATCTTCCACCACTTTCCCAGGCCATAGCAGAGAGCTATATCGGAAGAGGAGCAGTAAGGACTTGAACCGGTACCTATATGGGATGCTGGCACTGCAGGCTGGGGCTTTAACCCACTGTGCCACAGCACCGGCCCCTACATTGGTGTCTTAAAGTAGATCTCGGGGCCTGCGCTGTGGTGTAGTGGCTAAGCCTCCACCTGCAACGCCGGCATCCCATGTGGGCGCCTGTTCATGTCCCGGCTGCTCCTCTTCCAGGCCTGGGAAAGCAGTGGAAGATGACCCAAGTGCTTGGGCCCCTGCACTCGCGTGGGAGACCCAGAAGAAGCTCCTGGCATCAGATTGGCCCAGCTCCAGCTGTTGCGGCCATTTGGGGAGTGAACCAGCTGATGGAAGATCTCTCTGTCTACTGTAACCCTGCCTCTTAAATAAATAAATAAACCTTTTTAAAAAAACTAAAGTAGGTCTCACCAACTGGAGGCAGGGTGATGAGGCGGTGATGTCAGCCCAGACCCAGGCCCACAGCACAGATGAAGAGGTGACAGCTCCCTTAGGAGCCACCTAAGGTGGCATCACCTGCGTTTGGTGATGGCTCGGTTGTGAGGCATGGCAAGGAGGGGCTGGAGAAGGGGTCAGCAGAACCAGCAGAGCCCGGCGGCAGCCTCTTCCCAAAGAGGAACTCCCAGAGGAGCCGCAGCCAAACCCTGGGAAGGCGGGGCTGGGAGAGCCTCCCCAGGATGTGGCTGCCAGTGCCTTTGCCGGGCAGTGAAAACCTCCCCTGGCGAGCCTCCCTTGAGGCCTTTGCACCCCCCTGGTTCGGGGAGCCCCAGCCTGGCTGTTGAGTGGACTCGCCAGACACGGCCAAGGCCCAGACTTCAGGAGACAAAGCACTGTGAAGCCTTGGGTTGCTCTGAAGACAAGAGGCCCGCTAAGTGGCTGTGTCCTGGCCGGATCCCTTCTGAGGGCTGAGACTGTGTCCCTGTCGGCAAACCCTGCCCTGCCCACGGTGACTCCCCCATACAGGTTACTCCACCGTGGGCACAAAATGACAATGCACATCTATGCAAATCTGGGGGCCTCCTCGGCCCCCTATCCAGGATCCCCCAACTTTGGAAGCAAAATCGGGCGGGTCTTCCACGGCTGTTGTTTTGGGTTGAACTGTGTCCCTCTTCCAGATTCCTACACTGACGTCTGGCCTCCCACCCCATCAGTAGGTGAATGTCTGGTATTAAGGTCACTCCTGATGGAACCAGCTAAGATGAGCTCTTCAGGCTGCACTTCTAATCCAACACAACTGGTGTCCCCGCAAGAACAGGGACATTTGGAGGCAGCCACAATTGCAGGTGGGAGGCAGAGGCAGGGAGAAGACGGCCAGCTCCAGCCACGGAGAGTGGCCTGGGGCAGCCACCCTGGCTGAGGCCTTGCAGCCCCTAGGCTGAGACCAGGGCCTTACTCTGCAGGTGCAGCCAGAGCAGCCACACTTGGAGTCCCAGGCATCACTCAGCTGCTCCCGTGCCCCAACCAGCGTGGAGGTGACATGGCTCTCGGGACTTCAGGGGCCCCCAGGGGTGCAGGGGGGGACCGTGGCTGGGTTGCATCTGCCTCCTATCACGTTACCTTTGGGAACTTTCTGGAGGGAGGGGTCTGCCCAGGCAGTCACTGCCCCAGCAGACGCCCCTGCGGGTGTGTTTGGGGAGACCTTAGCAGGGGCCTCCCTGGCTCCTGGTGGCCTCCCAGAGTCCCTTCCAGAGAGTGACAAGGCACCGAGAGGGCAGTGCAGGCCTCCAGGGGCCCCTCGCCCAGCACCCTGCCTCCCCACTCCCCACAGAGCCCGTCCAGTCCCCAACTCACCACCCAGTCTTTGCGGACGATCATGGTCATGATGATTTGATACTGGAAGTACATGGGGATGAGCAGTGGGGGCCCAACTGTGCAGAGAACAGAGGTTGGCCGGCTGCTTCCTGCCCCGCCCCGCCCCATCCCCACCCCGCCCTGCCTGGGAGATCGGGAGGGGCGGAGACACTGAGCCTAGGGACAGGATCTACACACAGGGGGAAGGCGGCCCATGGCCCTGGTGCCCAAGGAGGGGCCTGGGAGCTGCCCGTGGAGCCAGCGCTCCAAACAGCCAGGAGCTGTTGAGTGCGTGGCCCTGGATGAGGCTGTGCCCCCCCCTTGTCTTCTGATGGGTCTGGGGTCTGCAAAGGGTGCAGATGGGAGGAGGGCAGCGGCCTCCTGGGCGGGGCGTCCACACTCACTCAGGAAGAAGTACTCGTGCTGGTGGTTGTAGGGCAGGTACTTCAGCTTCTTCTTGCCGTACTGAGGAGAGAGGGCAGATCCTGAGTACGCGGCACCCCCTTCCTGCCCTCCGTGCCTCCCCAGCTGGGGACAGGCCCATCTGCGCCGGGCTTCTGAGGCTCAGGGGCAAAGTCACTCCCAGGCAACACACAAAGGGGGCCGGCGTAGAGGATGAAGCCAGTCTGCAGCACTGGCAGCCCATATGGGTGCCAGTTCGAGTCCCGGCTGCTCCTCTTCCAATCTGGCTCTCTGCTAATGGCCTGGGAAAGCAGCAGTGGAAGATGGCTCAAGTCCTTGGACCTCTGCACCCACGTGGGAGACCTGGAAGGAGCTCCTGGCTCCTGATCGGCTCAGCTCCAGCCGTTGCAGCCCTTTGGGGAGTGAACCAGTGAAAGACTTCTCTCTCTCTCCCTCTCCCTCTGTAACTCTGCCTCTCAAATAAATAAATAAATGTTGGCCGGCGCCGCGGCTCACTAGGCTAATCCTCCACCTTGCGGCGCCGGCACACCGGGTTCTAGTCCCAGTCGGGGCGCCGGATTCTGTCCCGGTTGCCCCTCTTCCAGGCCAGCTCTCTGCTGTGGCCAGGGAGTGCAGTGGAGGATGGCCCAAGTCATTGGGCCCTGCACCCCATGGGAGACCAGGATAAGTACCTGGCTCCTGCCATCGGATCAGTGCGGTGCGCCGGCCACAGCGTTCCGGCCACGGCGGCCACTGGAGGGTGAACCAATGGCAAGGGAAGACCTTTCTCTCTGTCTCTCTCTCTCTCTCTCTCACTGTCCACTCTGCCTGTCAAAAAAAAAAAAAAAAAAAAAAAAGTTAAAAAAAAATAGAACAAGTGGGCCCTGCTGGGAGCTGAAAAACATACCCCAAGGCAGGGCACCCCAGGAGGGGGCTGGGAGACGCCGGGGAGGGCCCAGCAATCATGGGGCTGCACCTCTCCCTCTCCTTGTAATTTTCAGTCGCTCCCCTCAAGGCGGGCCCTGACAGGTGCGGGCCTCACCTGGTTACCTGAAGCCCTGAAATACCTGGGCCCAGCCCACCCTGCCCCTGGGGACTGGGAGTGACGGATGCTGTAGGCCTAGCCCAGTGGCATCTCCTCCTCTCACCTGCAGGAAGGAGGAGGCTGTGGCTGGGACAACTTCCCGCCTGTGCCCAGGACCTGCATCCCGGCACCAGCGGCCACGGTCGTAAGAGCGTCCGGCTGAAGCATCACCAGAAAGGGTCCCTTTGTCTCCCACACCCTAGCGAGGATCTACTCGTTCCCAGAAAGTGTGGCCCTCTGCTCAGAGACTATCATTAAGGTCAGGGCTGGGGCTGGCCTGGGGAGGTCTGAGCCGGGGTCCTCAGGGGGCGCCTCTGCCCGAGCAGTTCCTAGTGCAGGGAGGGGCAGGAGGGGTGGGTTCAGGGGAGGATGCGCCACGGCGGCCAGCCTGGGGAGGCACAGTGGCCGAGGGGAGCAGGGCTCCAGGCTGCCCTGGATCCTGCTTTAACCTCCTACCAGGAGCAGGGAACAGGGCTGCAAGCCCAGCCTCTGCTGTGGCTTCCTAGCCCTGGCCACTGGCCTCCCCACCACATCTCAGCCCACAGTTCACCCCATCCCTCTCAGGGCCTGAGCCCCAGGGGTGGCCTGGGCAAGTCAGCAGAGGCACTTAGTGCTGGCCAGGTGGCAGGGTGGCAGGGAGAACGGGGGGTTGTGGGGAGAGCACCCAGCTGTGTTGGCATAGCAAGCATACTGCTTTATCCATTTATTTTTAATGCATTTACTTTAATTTATTTGAAAGGCAGAGAGAGACCTTCCATCCTTTGGTTCACTCCCCTTGGCTGGGGAAGTCAGAAGCCCAGAACATAATCTGGACCTCCCATGTGGGTGACAGGGACCCAAGACCTTGAGCCATTATCTGCTGTGTGTCAGAAGCAGAGCCAGGACCCAGAGCCAGGCACTCCCGCACAGGATGTGGGCATTGTGCTGTGTCAACCACTGTGCCCAGTGCTTGCCTAAGCCTACTGTTTTCTTGGCTTCTGCTGCTTTTGGGGAAATGGCAGAGATTAGAGGGCCACAGCTGTCCCCAGGGTGACCCACAGGAGCCAAGGGGACACTGGTCCTGGGGACAGGGACTGGGGATCTGTACACAGTTCACTCTCTGAGCTGTGGCACCCAGCAGGCCCTGGGTTCTTGTTGCACAGTGGAGGTGAGCTGCGTACTTCACAGGGTTGTCGAGGGACCAGCGGACAAAGTGGCTATGAAAGCCCCAGGGGATCGTAGACAGGTGCTGGACACAGTCCCACGCGGCTGCACATCCGTTTCCGTCTCAAGGGCCTCTCCCAGGGCCTGGCTGGCCCACAGCCCTCTCCTCCAAAGGCTGGGAAGACCCCTGGGTCTGGCTGGCTGCTGTCTCTGGGCTAGGCAGGAACTGTACAAAGTTGCCCATGCACCGTGCCCAGGTGCCCAGGGCTCAAGACCCTGCTTAGCCCCATTAGCTTTGCTTTCTGCCAGAGGGCCCCATGCACCTGCCGTCCTCCGGGGGAGTCCCTGTCACACACAGCAGGAGAGCAGGGTCCTCACAGGAGAAGGCAGGCAGGCCCTCTGGACTGCAGGCCAGGGCGTGGGTGGCTCCCTGTGGCCAGACCCAAGGAGATGGTGACACAGGGCTGGCCTTGAGCAGGGACAGCGTGTTCCCAGGCTGAGGTTGATGGCTGGGGACACAGGCCAGGGGCAGGAGTGGGAGGCCACCAGCCCTGGGACCGCCCTCTTGTTCCCAGCCTCTCCAAGGACCACAAGGCCAGAGTTGGGTGAGGGCCAGAGAGGGTGCCAGGGGCATGTGTGGGGTGCGTTTCAGCTTTGGAACAGAATGTCTGAGGAGTGACAAGGGCCTTCCTTGTGCAGGACGCCTTGGGGAGGGCAACTCTTGCCGAGCCAGGCCACTGCCTCTGGGCAGGGAGCCGTGAGTGGCAGAGCCACAGCGGGTCCCCGTCCCGGGTCCCTGACAGGGGGGCCATGGCTGTGCTGTGGCCAGCGGAGAGGGCAATGGCCCACTTGGGCCCCTTCCTGAAGGTCTGCAGGGAGCATGGAGGGTGAGCAGTGGATAGGCAGAGGGGCAGGGGTGCAGCCTGGCTGGAGGGAGGGAAGGGTGCTCTGTGGGGAGGCAGAACCCCAGTTTCTGAGTGTCCATTTGCAGCAGGGCATGAACACCAGCCTGGCAGCTCCCTTCAACCACATACAAGAAACAAATGAGCTGGCGCCGCGGCTCACTAGGCTAATCCTCTGCCTTGTGGCACCAGCACACTGGGTTCTAGTCCCCGTCGGGGCGCCAGATTCTGTCCCGGTTGCCCCTCTTTCAGGCCAGCTGTCTGCTGTGGCCCGGGAGTGCAGTGGAGGATGGCCCAAGTGCTTGGGCCCTGCACCCCATGGGAGACCAGGTATGTACCTGGCTCCTGCCATCGGATCAGCGCGGTGCGCCGGCTGCAGCACGCCGGCCGTGGCGGCCATTGGAGGGTGAACCAACGGCAAAGGAAGACCTTTCTCTCTGTCTCTCTCTCTCACTGTCCACTCTGCCTGTCAGAAAAAAAAAAAAAAGAAAAGAAAAGAAACAAATGTCTGATGAACGAAGCAAGATGGCCACGGGGCTCGCCACCGTTTAAGGCTGCTCTGAAAAGTGCGCCTCGGTGCAACCAAACCCCAAGCAGAAATAAGAGTGGGGGTCAGCGGTGGGGCACCACCTCTTGCGGAACCAGCCTTCCATATTGGAGCACTGGTTCCAGTCCCTGCTGCTCTGCTTCCAACCCAGCTCCCTGCTAATGCACCTGGGAAAGCAGTGGAGGACGGCCCGAGTGCTTGAGCTCCTCCCACTGATGCAGGAGACCCTGGCTTCAGCCTGGCCTAGACCTGGCTTTTGCGGTTATTTGGGGAGTGAACTAGGAGGTAGAAAATCTATTCTCTCTGCCTTTCAAATTGATAAAATAAGTATTTTTTTTAAAAAAGAATGGAGTGGAGGGAGAGCATTTGGCCTAGTAGTTAAGATACCGCTTGGGACACCCATCCCACAGGAGTGCCCAGGTTCAAGTCCCGGCTCCAGCCTCCTGCTCATGCTCACCCTGGCAAGCAGAAAGTGACAGACAGCTTGAGTACCTGGGTGCCTGCCACCCACTTGGGAAACCCAGATCAAGTTCCTGGTTTCTGGCTTCAGCCTGGCCCAGCCCTGCCTATTGTAGGCATTTGGGGAGTGAACCAGTGGATGGAACATCTCTCTCTTTGTGTCTCTCCTTTTCAAATAAAACAACTAAATGAAACTTTAAAAAAAAAAAAAAAAAGAAGGGAGCTATAGAAAGAAAGAGATGAATTTTTCATTGTTTCCAAAAATGTGATCGTTGTACCCAGGAAACTCAACAGAATCCACTGAAAAGTGACCTAGGTTCAGGCAGAATCCGGTACACACGAGCCAGACATAAGAGCACCAAGCAAAATCAATCACTTTCCCAAACGCGAGAGAAGCCCCAGTTGTGAGAACAAAAATATAAAGCCCCTAAGGATTAATTTAAAAAAAGGACACTCATAAAACCACGTCCCAGGGTGGGACCCTCACATCCCGCATCCGAGTGCCTGGGTTTGAGTCCTGGCTCTGCTACCGATCCAGCTTCCTGCTAATGTGCCTGGGAGGCAGCAGGTAACGGCTCAAGCACCGGGCCCTGCCACCCAGCTGAGTTCCCAGCTCCTGGTTTCAGCCTGATCCAGCTCCAGCTTTGGTGGGCAGTTAAGGAGTGAACCCACAGATGGAGGATCTCTGGCTGGCTGGCTGGTGGGCTTTCAAATAAAGAAATTTTTTTAAAAAATTTTTCTTTATGTATTTGAGAGGTAGAGTGACAGAAAGAGAGAGAGTGAGATAGTGAGAAAGGTCTTCCATCTGTTGATTCACTCCCCAAATGGCCGTGATGGCCAGAGCTGGGCCGATCTGGAGCCAGGAGCTTTTTCCAGGTCTCCCAGAGGCCCAAGGACTTGGGCCATCTGCTGCTGCTTTCCCAGGTGCATTAGCAGGGAGCTGGATCAGAAGTGGAGTAGCCGGGACTCGAACTGGCATTCATATGGGATGCCAGTTCTGCAAGCAGAGGCTTAGCCTACTACGATAGAACACTGGCCCCTCAAATAAATAAACTTAAAATACGTAAATAAATAAGGCCATGTCCAAGGAGATAAAGATTCCTGGATGGGAAAGCAATGGAGTGAGGGGCATTCAGAAGGGGGAAGCTGCCCCACTACACTCTCACAGTGAGTTAAGTGCCAGGTACAGCCGAGTGCCGTGCACAGGGCACCCAGACACTCGGGTGCAGGAGAGCCCCCGCCATCACACAGGAGGGGCGTGGGGGCCCATGGGTGCCGGGGAGACTGGCTGGCTCAGGAGGCCAGTGGAGGTGGATGAACACACATCCCCTGTGGCCAGTGTCAGACACTGGGACAACAAACTGAAAATACTCCCTACAAAGAACTTCCTTAGCATAACAGCAAGGAAAGGAATCTCAAAAAGAATCTCGGCAGGGAGAGTATTTTGCTACATAAAACAAACAAAAACATCCTCCCGGAAACCATCAGTAAGCCCCAGAGGCTGAGCACTAACTGGCGAAGGGCAGGGCAGCCTTCGACAGAGCTGCCTGCTGGGCAGACTGTGCAGCCCCTGCTGGCTGCTTTGTTTATCTGTGCCTGGGAGAAAAGCCCTGGCAGGTATCCTGGCTCCCAGCCCTGGCCAACCTGGAGCTGGGAGAGGGAGTCCACGGTGATGCATGGGACTGGCCTATGACAAAGGCCATCTGACCCACTGTCCAGGGCAGCATGGCAGGTGCTCGGGCCCCTGCCGTCCACATGGGAGACTCAGCCTGGCCACCCCTCTCCACTGCAGCCATCTGGGGAGTGAACCAGCAGATGGAAGATTCCTCTCTCTCTCTCTCTCTCTCTCGTTCTCTGTAACTCTGCCTCTCAAATAAATGAAATAAATCTTTTTTAAAAAATGTTAAGGAGCTGTCATTGGGACACAGTTGGTTAAGCCACTGTCTGTGACATCTCTATGAGCACTGGTTTGAGCCTTGGCTGCTCCATTTCTGATCCAGCTTCCTGCTAATGTGCCTTGAAAGACAGCGGAGGATGGCTTCCAAAGGACCGGGTTGTGGCTACTTTCCTGTAAGCAGCCCTGTCCCAGGGGGCTCACGTGCCCACGCACATACTCGTTCTCTCAGCTGGCAACACAAGGCTGAGATGGGCACCAGCTTCTGTCCTGGCCTCGTGCCAGGCCCTGGCTGCCCACGCGGCTAGGGGGAGCAGTGGCAAGGTGCCACACCTCACTCAGGGCACAGGGCTCAACTGGCAGAGGCCGGGACAGCCCTCCCTCCTGCGCCCGGCACCCTCATCCAGGGGGTGCTCTCCTACCCCGTGTTCTGCGTCCTCAACGTATTTGCAAAAAGCAAAGCTCATGTGATCTTCAAGTTCAAGTTCAACCCTGACTTTGGGGCTGCTTGTGACCTTACTAAACGATGACATCCTCCATACGCATCGAGAGTGCTTTTATTACAGGGAAAGGAAGGCTACACTAGCACCAGATTTTTCCCACCTTCTCAAACCGTGGGTTATGCTGCCTGTAGGAACGTCCCTGAACATGCACAGCCCCCAGAGAGAAAACCAGTCTCCCGGGACCCCTGGAGACGGGTTCAGGTGGGGAGAAGTGGCACACTGTTGTGTCTGATGTTTGTGGGGAAGCAGATGGACACGTGCTCACACACTCACGTGGGCACAGAATTCAGGGGTGGGGAGAATGAGACTCGCTTTTTAATTTTGTATATTTCCATGCTTATACCAAGTATGTGCTGCATCTGTGGTAAAGAAATGAACTGATACAAGAACAAAACGGTGTAGCAGAGTGAAGAAAACGCCCCGGTGGTCAGAAGATGTGGCAACTTCTCAGGGACAGGCCACTAAGTGGTGCGACCCTGGACCCACCTCACCCTCTCACTGAGCCTTGCGTCCTTTTACTCCATTATAAACTTGACCGAATTTTTCTTATTTGGAAGACAGAGAGAGAGACACACACACACACAAGGATAGACAGAGAAATGTCCTATCTGTGGGTTCACTCCCCAAATGCCCACAACAGCCGGGGCTGCGCCACACCAAAGCCAAGAGCCCAGACTCCAATCCAGGTCTCCCACATGGGTGACAGGGACGCAACCACTTGAGCCATCAGCTGATGCATCCCAGGACACACATAAGCAGGAAGCTGGAATCGGGAGCCAGAGCCGGGACTGGAACCCAGGCCCTCTGATGCGGGATGCAGGTGTCTTAAGTGACGTCTCAACCATCGCACCAAACCCCAGCCCAGCATTTCTCGCTTGGCACCAGGTCCTGTTGGGGTTCCTCCCAGTGCAGAGGAGGCTGCTGCTCCAAATAAGGTTTCCTGAGCACGGTCTGGCCTGCTGGGGATCAGACTTGGGCCCTAGAGCCAGGCCTTCCTGCTAAGCTGGAATGAGATTTCCCGGCGTCCTCTCTTGCTGAGGAGCTGTGTCCCATGCTCACCCCGGAGGCCAGGCCACATACATTCCCACTGCAATGATCAACAGGGCGCCTAGGAAGGCTTTCCACGCGGCTGAGATGGGGACGCGCCTGGCTGAGCCGGTCCCTGCCTGTCCCTAGCTCCAGCCAAGTTCACCCACACGGTTGTTACCTCAATGGGCTGCGACTCGCCCAGGACAAACACATGCAGCATCTTCACATCCGGATCCTTGTGGAAGATGTTGGGCTTGGCGTGATGCTGGAAGTGGCGATGGTTCCACCAGTTGGCGGAGGCACCCTGTGGGGGCAGAGGGCTGGAGTGAGCAATGCAGTCCCCTGGGGACCTGAGCTTGCCTGCAACAGGCCCCACCCCCCACTGCCCAACACCCAGGACCAGCTCCTGGCACTTCCAACACTCAGGGTTGACTTCACTATACTCGGGGCAATGCCTTGGGACCCCGAATCACGGAGCCCAGAGGACCGGCCAGCCCCAGCCACGGTCATGTCGCTCCATCACTCCGGGCCTCCATTTCCCCCACTGTAAGATGGTGATGGTGGATGGAACACGTGCGGGCGGGACCACAGTGAGCGCTGCAGCAGGCATGGGGAGGCCTCTGCTTCTCTGCCAGCCCCAGGCGTGGTCCGGCCCACACCCACTTCTCCACCACGCTCTTCCTGGCCGCCAGCATCGCGCCAGGGGAGGGGGCTTCAGGGACAGTGAATGCTTGGGTGAATGCCCAAGAGGAGTAGAAACACGTCCACATGCAAAGCCGCACACGAGGATTAAAAAGAGAGAGAAAAGCAAATTAACTGTTGTATCCTAATGTGCAGAGTAGCCCCCTTCAAAACAACCGCAAGGTGGAACAACACAAATGCTGTCAGCAGGTACATGGGGAAAGGCAGTGGGGGATGGGCCACGCCCCTGGGCGGGCTGTAACGTGGACCGGCCCTGGAGAGGTGATGGCAGGTCAAAGGACCCCACATTCCATTGATGAGAAATGCCAAGACGGGGAGTGGTTGCCAAGAGGAGTGGTTGCCTGGGCCAGGACAGGGAGACTGGCAGAGGCTGAAAGAGGAGTGGTTGCCCAGGCTTGGGTTGGGGGACCCGGGGAGGCAGAGGGGTCAGGACCTAGGGATGGGATGGCTAAGAAGGGAGGGGTTTCTCTGGGAGGGGATGAAGATGATTGTGGTAATGATGGCAGAAAGCTGCAGCCATATTTAAAGTCATTGACTTGCACATTTTAAATGGACGAATTGTGTACTCTGTGGATTATAGTTTAATAAAGTTTTCCTTAATTATTACTTTTTTAATTGAGAGATAGAGAATCATCTGCTGGTTCCCTCTCCAACCGCTTTCAACTGCCAGGGCCGCCCCAAGGCCGAAACTAGGAGCCAGGAACTCAATCCGAGCCTCCGGTATGGGTGTCGGGGACCCAACTACTAGAGCCACCACTCGCTACCTCCTAGGGTGCATATCCGCAGGAAGCTGGGGCTAAGAGCAGAGCCAGGGCTCCAACCCAGGCACTCTGATACGGCACGAGGTCATTCCGAGTGCTGTCTTCACTGCTGGGCCACATGCCTGCCCTAATAAAACTTTCAAAAACAGAAAGGCATTGCGTAAGTGGCCACTGTGCGGAGGGGTGGGTGCCGGGGCTCCTGTCCCACCCAGAAGGCTGGCAGTGGCTTAGATGACACTGGTTCTGGCTTCAATAAACTGATGAGCCCCGAGACAAGCAGCACAACACGGGTATTCGTTTCCAGGTCACAGATCGCCGTCTGACTCAAGCTCGTAAAACACTGTGTAGAGGCAGCTCCCGCGGCCAAGTCAGCCGGGGACACGCTGCGGACTCTCCAGTGTCAGCACTGCACTTGGGAGCTGTGACCCGATCAATGCCTTGGCTAAGGGTCTGGCCATCTGCGAAGAGGCCTGTTTGCTACAAACAAACATTGACTTGGAAGAGGCTATTGGCACGCGCATGGTCTCAGGACACCCACAGCTGTGGGTGGGGACAGCTATGAACAGCTGTGGCCCTGGAGACAGGCGGGAATCAAATCCAACAGAGAAAAGAAATGGCAGCAAGTGCAAGCCCAGGGGCTTGAGGAATCACGTGACACAGTCACAGCTGTAGCCCCAACAGAAGAAAACTCCTGGGAAGAACTGAATGGCTAAGTCCCTGGCACAGAGATTGAGGCGTGAGGCCTGTGAGGTTTAGAATATCCCAACTCAGGGGCGGGTGGGCTGCCCGGAGGTTAGCACACCAGGCAAGGACCCACGTTCCGTATCAGGGTGGCTGGCTTTGATTTCAGCTCCTGACTCCAGTTTCCTGCCAGTGTAGACCCTAGGGGACAACAGTAATGGCTCAGGTGATCGGGTGCCAGCCACCCACATGGGTGACCCTGATGGATCTCCCTGCTCCCAGCTCTAGACTTTGGGCTGGCCCAGTCCCAGATGTGTTAGGTATTTATGGATTGGAGCTCTCCCTTTCTGCCTATTTCTCCCTATCAAATAAATACGTAAATATTTGTTTATTTAATTGAAGGACAGAGCCACAGAGAGAGAGAGGGAGAGACAGATCTTCCATGCACTGGTTCACTCCCCAAATGGCCACAAGGCTAGGACTGGGCCAGGCAAAAATGAAGAATCAGGAACTCCACCCATGGCTGGCAGGGGTCTAAGCACTTGTGCCATCTGCTGCTGCTTTCCGAGGTGCATTAGCAGGGAGCTGGATCAGAGATGGAGCAGCCGGGGCTGGAACTGGGGCTGTGATACGGGATGCCAGCATCGCAAGAGGCAGCTTCACCCACTGCGCCACAATGCTGACTCCAATGATGGTTTAAAAAAGAGTATTCCAACTTAGAGATGTCTGCCGAATGAACACACAGAGGAGAAGGAAGAAGGGCCGAGAACAGGGCTGTGAGGCGGGGCACAGGACACGGGAGCAGGTGGATGAACACACGTCCTGTCCCTGCTGCTCCACCTGCCGTGACTCCCCGCCCTGCTCTTGGACAGGCACAGCCCTGCTCCTCCTTCAGGACCAACAGCAGCCCCCGGCGGCCCCAGAACACGGGACTGCTCTGCGCCGCACCGGGGGCAGAGTGTGAGGCGGGAGCCAAGGCCCTGCCCCGGGCGAACTGTGAGAGGGAGGGTCGGGGAGGAACAGGGCTGCCAGAGCCGCGAGAGCCCAGGGAGGCTGCACGGAAGCTGCCTGCAGCTGCACAGGACATGGCCAGAGCCAGCGGACTTTCCTAACAGAGGCCCCTGGTGTTTGTGTGTGGAATATTCCAGAAGCCGAAGGAAGGAACGCCCCGGGGCAGGAGTGTGACAGCCGGGTCAGAGCCGGAAGCCTGAGGAAAACTGTGCACTCCTGGCTTTAACGACGCAAACCCATCCGAAGCCCTTTAAAAATCTGGTTTTTGAAGAAAAAAAAAACACTGCTTTTTGGTTGAGGCCATTTTCAATTAAAACAAATACCAACGTTGGTGATGTCTGTCAGCCGGGAGACAAGTTTAAATGATTTTTAATTGCCATCAGCTGCAGTCAGAGTGTAACTGGAGCTTGTCTTGGTATAAATACAGCAGTTAAAAATCAAAATCACATGGCTTTTTAGACATCGACTTATCAAATTTTAAATATTTTTTAACAATGGATTTTATGCTCTGGAAGAAAAAAAATCAAACACTAACACGCTGCAAGACCAGCGTGGGGCACCCCGGGCTAAGCCACCACCGGTGACACCAGCACCCCATATTGGAGTACTAATTCAGTCCCAGCTGCTCTGCTTCCGGTCCAGCTGCCTGCTAATGCGCCTGGGAAAGCAGTGGATGATGGTCCAAGCACTTGTGCCCTGCAACCACATGGGAGACTCAGATGGAGTTTCAGGCTCCTGGTTTCGGCCTGAGCCAGCCCTGGCGGTTTTAGCCATTTGGGGGAGTAAACTAGCAGGTGGAAGATTCTCGCTCGCTCTTTCTCTCTCTGTGTGTGTGTGTGTGTGTGTGTGTGTGTCACTCTGCCTTTCCAATAAATAAAGGTTATTGTTTTAAAATGACATCAACACATAAAAAAGAGTGCATGTTTTTCTACTTGCCTCTTGGTTCAGCTCTAATCTCTGGTCAAATGTTGATATTTTACTGTATTGCAGGACTGTTTTTGCATTGATCTTTTTGTCTTAAAAAAAAATCCCACACATTAGAATGCTATGTTTGTGGCCCCCTAAATTCTGCACCATAGCCAAGGGCCTCCCCTGCCGCACCCAAATCCCAGCCCTGCTGGCCAGAGACCGGCCGCACGAAGGCCAGTGGGTATCTGCCCTTTATCCTGAGTGCAAGCTCAGGATAAGAACGGGTTTTACGCAGAGAGGTGACGCCTGCAACTGTCTTTAATTCCTGGAATTTCATGTCTCTGGGAGAGACACCTGCCGGAAGCGGCTTGGCTGCAGGAGAGGGGAAGTCGTGAAATCCCACAGCAGCGCAGGTGCAGTCAGAAGCAGGTCTCGGCCCCACGAGGACCCCAGTACCTGGTCTCTGGCCTCACCAACCTGTGCTAGAGCATCGGAGCTGGCAGGGCCCTCAAGGAGCTGCCGCGCCCAACCCCTTTTCACTCAGGGAAGGGAACACAGGCACGAGGAACCTACAAGACTTGCCTACCAGGCTTCTGCGCCCAAGCTCCAGGGCTGGATCCCAGGCAAGCTGCGAGCACCTTGCTCTGGGGCACCCCTGGGCGAGCTACACCGCTATGCCATGGGCCTGGTTCTGCAACACAGCAGCAAAGACACAGCCAGAAGAGGCTGGGGGGCCACGAGAGACCACACATCCCGAAGCCCAAGAACCTTGCTTCCCATCACCCCAGAGTCCCGATGTCATCAGTGAACATTTCGCACGGAGCCCAGCCTTCTGTCCTGGCCTCACCTCCCGTGTGGTGCAAGAGCTGTGCCCCACGGGGCTCTTCAAGGACCTGGGGCTATCAGGCAGGAAGGGCCCCCCTGGCCCCCGCCCGGAGCCTGGAACTAGAATGCAGCCCGTCTTATGGGACAACATGGGTTAGAAGAGAAAAGTAACTTTCTAACACCGAGGAGGGTTTTATCCACGGGGGTGGGGGGGAGGACAGTGCAAGATGAAACAAGGCCTCTGCTCTGTGCACCCCCTCCTTGTCCCTGAAATTCTGGAGAGAGGCCAGATTCTCCAGACCTTCAGGGCTCAGGGCAAGACAAAGTGCTTGCTGTGGAATGAGTGGCCTGCTCGGTGCTGGGTCACCCCTCGATGCACCTGTGGCCAGCAAGCCAAGGGCCCAGCGTGGCCTGGGTCACAGAGGGGAGAAGCTTAACTGGGACAGGGTCGGGGGGGGCTCTTCAGGACCCAGCTTCCCCTAGAGGCTGTTAGATGCTGTTGGGAAGGGTCAGTGGGGGAGGGGGGAGAGTTACAGAGCAAGAGGGAGAGACTGAGAGAGAGGTCTTCCATGCCCTGGTTCACTCCCCAAATGGCTGAAACAGCCAGGGCTGGGTCAGGCTGAAGCCAGGAGCCTGGAATTTCATCTGGGTCTCCCATGTGGGTGGCAGGGAGCCCAAGCACTTGGGTCATCTCCTGCTGCTTTCCCAGGTGCATGAGCAGGAAGCTGGATCTGAAGTGGAGTAGCTGGGATTAGAACCAGTGCTCACATGGGATGCCAACTTCACAGGTGGCGGCTTAACCTGCTGAGCCACAGTGCTCACCCCTCCATAACTTTCTGATTGCCCTCTCAATATGCATGGATTTCAAAAAAATGTTTGCGCCAAAGCACACTGATCTTTTCAATTCCCTGCCCATATCTAAGCCTTTGAAAGTACTCCTTGAGGCCAGCGCTGTGGCGCAGCAGGTGAAGCTACTGCCTGTGACGCCAGCATCCCATGTGAGTGCCAATTCTAATCCTGGCTGCTCCACTTCCAATCCAGCTCCTCACTAATGCACCTGGGAAGGCAGAGGAGGATGGCCCAAGTGCTTGGGCTCCCTGCCACCCACGTGGGAGACCGGAAGAGGCTCCTGGCTCCTGGCTTTAGATCTGGCCACTGTGGCCATTTAGGGAATGAACCAGTGGATGAAGATCTCTCTATGGCTCTCCCTCCTCTCTCTCTGTAACTCTGCCTTTCAAATCAACAAATAAATCTTAAAAAACAAAAGTATCCTCACGTGTGCAGACAGTACCCAATTTACCACAGTCCAACGTAGGAGTCTTTGGCTTTACAATGGTGAGTAGTGCCAAAATGACACTGAAATACAAATTTTGAATTTCAATGCGTAGTCCCAGCCAGTCCTACGAGGTGCGATACACACTGGCTAACCAGTAGTCTGCAGTGTGCTGTGTTGAAGACCCCCTGTCTGCTGGGGTCTGGAAACAACCTAAGTCACAGCCTGGAGCACTTGTAACCACCCATCAGAGCCCACATATTTCCACACAGCACTGAGATCGCTTCCTACGTAAGAACTTACGTAACAGGGGGCTTCAAAATGTCCCTGGAGAGGTTAGGCCACCACCTGTGCTGGCGACACTGGCATCCCTTGTCAACACCAGTTCAAGTCCCAGCTGCTCCACTTCTGATCCAGCTCCCTGCTAATGCTCCTGGAACCTGGTCCAAGGGCCTGGGCCCCTGTCACCCACAAGGAAAACCCGGAAGGGAGTTCCAAGCTCCTGGCTTCAGCCTGGCCCAGCCCTGGCCATTGTGGCCATTTGGAGAGTGAACCAGCAGATGGAAGATGTCTCTCTCTCTCCCTCTGTAACTCTGCCTTTTAAATAAATAAATAAATGAGCAGTGCAAGGAAAACAGAATTAAAAGATATACTTGTTTTGGTGCAAAACATTTTGAAATCCATGTATGCCTTTTCCAGCAACTTCTTGAAGACCCTGCCTCCCAGAGAATCAAACGTTAAAACAAAGAAAAAAGCGTAGACGGCGTATTAGGAAAGGGCAGGAAAAGAGCCCCAGAAACACAGACGAGGGGTAATTGTTGTCCCAAATGTTGCTGTGCACTTCCTGGCGTCGGAGGCGAACAAAAAGGAGGGACACCGTGTACTACACAGCTCAGATTCCCAGGGAGAGAGAAAGCGCGCAGTCTCTTTACTGGGCTCCAGCTACAAGGAATTTATTAGGTAAGCCCATCGCAGACCAACAACAGCAGCCGCCGAGCCAAGAGACCAAGGAGATGTGCATCTGTTTTTATAATTAGCGCACTGCTGTTTTGCGGGTCTGGTGTGACCCCGAGACACGGCTCAGGAAGGCAGGGGGTTGTCTTGCAGCACAGCCACCCCAGGAGAAGGCACTGTTCAGAGGGAGGCTCACCGAGCAGACAGGGGCGAGGTGGCACTGTGCCAGCCGCCAACCCAAAGGACAGATGCCCAGGGCCACTGGCATTTACCTTTAAGTGGCCAATGACGAACTTGTGGACAATGTGGTTCCAGGTGGACTTCTTGTAGACAGAAAGGTGGCCGTAGTCGTGTTGAAGCCATCCAGCCTGGGCCTAGGACAGAGGGCCACAGGTGCCTTTTCAGCGTCAGCCCACAGGCACCAGGCCTCCGAGTGACAGGCGAGGGTGTCACGCCTCACCTGAGAGGTAGCCAGGACGAAGGCCGTGATGACGGTGGGGATCCAGCCGTTGCCAAAGTAAAAGATGGTGAACCAGGCGACGCTCTCCATGGCGATGATGTGGGCCAGGAGGAGGAGGAAGAAGAGGTGGTTGGTCTGGAACAGGTTCATGTCCTCAGCGGTCTTCTTCAGGGCCCGGAAGTCCTCGGTGATCTGAGACTGTCGAGCAGGAGCACAGGGAGGGAGGGAGTCGGGCCCTGTACATCCCAGAGAAGCTGTGGCCAAGGGAACGGTCCACAAAGAGCCTGGCCACCACACACTGCAACAGCTGCCAACACTGGACACCTGCCATGTGCCTGGCACGGCCCTGGGGACTGCATATTTGTCCACAGGTAGTTAAGTGGCAGAGCAAGGATTCGACTCAACACCTTGCCCTTTGCACACCACTGTTCATAGCATCACCACGCACAGTCAGCAAAGGGTAGAAGCCACCAGAGCGCCCCCAAGAGGTGAAGGGATGAACCAAAGGATAAAACAGTAGACTACTACTCAGCCTTTAGAAGGAGGGGAATTCTGACACACGCCACGACACAGACAGACCATGAAGACACGGTGCTAAGGAACACACACGTTTGTGATCCCATTTGACACGAGGCTGCTGGAGTGGCCAAAGTCACAGATACAGAGGTGGGGGGAGGAGGGAGCTGGGGGCAGGAGGAACAGAAAGCTGTGGTCTCACAGGCGTGGAACTTTTGGGAGATGATGAGAGAGTTCTGAGATGGACGGTGGTGATGGGGCCGAAGCATCGCAAGTGGACTTAATGACATGGAAAAGGACGCCTACGTATGGTTAAACGGTGAATTTTATGGATGTATATCTGGCCAAGTACAGCTTGCATGTCTGCTACCTACTGCTGTGCCGACTTGTTCCAGGGACCCTCTGGGCTCCTGAGGAGGCTGAGACGGAGGAGACACAAACTAGCGCATGATGGAGTCCTTGTCACAGAGCGGGCAGGAGGGGACAAGGGCTCGGCAAGCACTGGGGACGGCAAGCCAAGGAGGCAGAGGCAGAGCCAGAGCCAAGGACAGCTCTGGGGAAAACAAAAGAGAGGGAGGCGGGCACTCGGCCCAGCAGGTGACCGCTCAAGTCCTTGGGTTCCTGCCACCCAGGAGGGAAACCTGGATTGAGTTCCTTACTCTGGGCTTCGATCCCAGTCCCACCCTGGCTGGACATGCGCAGGCCTCTGGGAAGTGAACCAGCAGATGGGAGCCCTCTCTCTCTCTCAAATAAATTTAAAATTTTAAAAAATTAAAGGGCAGCTCTAAGGAAGCAATGGCACCACTGGGCAAAAGGAAGCTGGAGGCAGGGCAGGACACGAGGGAAAGAAGCTGGACACGAGGAGGCTGGAGGCGCCCCGGACACAAGCAGGCGCACTGAAGGGTGGTCCTGGTGGCGGTGGGTGGAGGAAGCCAGACGGGCCCTGGCGAGAGGTGGTGCGGAATCCGAGGCAGAAAGGGGAGAGGCCAGGCCAGGAGGAGGAGCTGCAGCGAGGGCCGGAGACAGTGGGAGGGTGGAGCTGGAGCCAAAGTGAAGGGGGCAGCGAGGGGCAAGCTGGGGTCAGCATGGGCTGGGGAGGACGATCCCCTCGTGCGTCCTGAAGGCCAAGATGGGGGTGTCTTCCCGGGAAGGCCAGGAGTCCAGGCCAGAACCCTGCACCTTGCCTGGCTCCAGCCCCAGGCAGAGCAGCTGACACAAACCACCCAAGGCAAGAGGAAGGGCTCGCTGGGGCCGGGGCCTGGAATGAGAAGCAAGGCGCTGAAGGCGGAATTCCCATGCGGTGAGCAGGGCCCTTAGCTCAGCCCTCAGAGCGAAGCAGGACTCCTCTGGCCAGCCCTGGGGTCACGGGCAGGCCCGGTGCAGCTGTGCACACTGCCAGGGATGAGGCCAGGCCCGGCGGGCTCGGGAGGGGATAGGCCAGGTGCCTGCGGTGCTGCCACGAACGGGGATGGAGCCGGGAAAGGGCGCTGGGGCAGGGCAAGGCTGGGATTTGGGGGGGGGGGGGCAGAGGTGGGGCGTGGAGCCTCAGCTGACTGCTGCCCTGGGCTCCGCCCTTCACCTGCGGCCAGGCACACACACTACCTCACGGTGTAACAGTGTAATGCAGCAGCCCCAGGGGCCCCCGGGCTGCCATTTTTACATCCTGCTGTCCAGGCAGGTAGCACCTGGCAGGGCGTCTGATTCACAGTGGGTTAAGTTCTCACTTGGGATTCCCGGACCCACACTGAAGTGCTTGGGATCAACTCCCAGCTGCTCATTTCTGGCGCAGCTCCCTGCTAATGTGCCTGGGAGGCAGCAGATGATGGCCCAAGGGCTTGGGTTCCTGCCACCTGGATGGAGATCCTGGCTCTTCCCTTTGGCCTGCCCCAGCTATGGCTGTTGTGGGCATTTGAGGAATGCACCAGTGAATGCCAAGATTGATCAGTCAGTCAGTCTAACATTGTCTCTCCCTCTGTCAGTCTGCCTTTCAAATAACTTAAAAACACAAAAAAAGCAGCAGCAACATTAGCAGTTAGAAGAGAGGGGACCCCACCAGCTATGACCAAACTCCTGCAGTGCTCCCTGGCCCCCAGGTTACTCCTCCTGGACCGGCTGCCCCAGCCCACACTTTGGTCCAGGGCCCAGGGGCCCCTCTCAGAGACCACCCCTCGGGCCCCCCTACCCAGCTTGCAAGCCCTACTCACGTTCTTGCCGCGGTCCAGGCTAGGCTCCTCTGGGGCCAGCTCGCCGATCAGCAGGGGCTTCAGGAACTTGCCCACAAGGTCCAGGTCGGGGTGGAAGGCCCGGAAGGCATCCTGGGGAGCAGAGGAGCAGGTGGTAAGGCCAAGACCCCGACCTCTGCCCATTCCTCCGGCCCCAGGGAGGGTAGCGCACAGCAGCAAGGAGCCCTGTGTCTCCACACGGACACCAGCAGGGCCTCCGGTGATCCGGCCCCAACGAGCTCTCCAGCCTCACAGCCCAGGACAGGTTCTCCAGCACCCAAATCCACTGGCAGCAGCCAGCCTGGGCCTCTGTGCTAGCCGGCCACGCCAAGCCCACCAAGGGCTTGTGGGTAGACTGAGCAAGCCTCAAGCAGGCGAGCCTTTAGGGAGATGTTCCAGGTGGGCACAGGGCTCAGGGAGGGCTTAAGCCTGGCCTACTGCTGAACCTGCGCCTTGTGCAGTGTGCAAGCTGCACCGCCCACCACCCCACGGCAGCTCCTCGCCCAGTGCCCACAGCTGTCAATGAAAATCAAGGCAGAAGACTATTACAGCACAGAAAATGTGCTGAGAGCAGCATGTTAAACGAAAAGCAAACACAGAACTATGTGAAAAGACTTCCTGAAAGAAGCCTGGGAGGGGCTACACTATTTTTATACGCATGTTAAAAACAGCAGGATGAGGGGCTGGTGTTGTGGTGCAGCAAGTTAAGTTGCTGCCATGACACTGGCATCCCATGTGAGCGCCAGGTTCAAGACCCGGCTGCTCCACGCCTGATCCAGCTCCCTGCTAATGCGCCTGGGAAGCAGCAGCAGATGACCCAAGTGCTTGGGCCCCTGCACCCACATGGGAGACCCAGATGGAGTTTCTGGCTCCTGGCTTCTGCCTGGCCCAACCCTAGTTATTGAGGCCATTTGGAGCATGAACCAGCAGATAGACAATCTCTTTCTGTCTCTCTGTGTAGCTCTGCCTTTCAAATAAATAAACAAATCTTAGAAAAATAAAGTGGGATTATGCCTTATTTTAATTATTTCCAAACTTTCGGTAATGTTTTTACCATGTTATACACTTTCATCATTTTGTCTGATAATAAAGTAAAAATGTGCTTTGTGGTGGCAAAGTTGGAAAATGTACAGCACATCACCCCAGACGGGACACCCTGGCTAATTCTTTAGCAGGTTCCCTTCCAGCTTTTTTTTATACATATTATGGACAGTATATACATGACCTCATAAAACATACAGCACCTCTATCAGACATGAGCTGGCACCAGGTGACCCAGAGGGGCTGCCCTCGGATGTCCCAGGGGTGCAGCCACCATTGTCCCTGCAACAAGCCGTTCATTAAATCTGGACAGTGCTAGGATCGAGGCACAAGTCACAAGCACCGTCAGGAACAATCAGAATAAAACAAAAAACAAGGTAGCAGCGTGTCTTCACTGGGAAGACTCCTGTTTGGGGGAAAAGAACAAGTCACACCGGACGTCCTTGGGGCTGAACGAGAAAACCTGAATGTGGACCAGAGATGAGATCCTGTCGAGGAGACAGAGCTATTGTGATGCAGCCAGAGAACACAGGAGTTGCGGCTGGAGGCCCTGGGGAAGCCGCTGCAGGACCATGCAACCTTCCAGATGAACACGGCCTCTGTAGGGGGAGGGAGCGAAACTGTGGCCCGAAAGCACCATCAGTGAAACCTGGTGAGGATACACGCTGTTCGCTGATTTTTCCAGCGTGTCTGCACGTTTGCGGAACTTAAAGATTTTTTTTTTTTTTTTTAAGGGCTTTGTGGCTTGGCCAGGTAACTGCCACCTGTGATGCTGGCATCCTGTATCAGAGCGCCGGCTCGAGTCCCAGCTGCTCTGCTTCTGATCCAGCTCCCCACTAAAGTGCCTGGGAAGGCAGCGGAAGATGGCCCAAGAACTTGGGCCCCAACCACCCATTCGGGAGACTCTGATGGAGTTCTAGGCTCCTGCTTCCGCCTGGTCCAGTCCCAGCCCTTATGGCCATTTTGGGGAGTGTGCCTTTTCAATACATAAAAATAAATCTATTTAAAAACATAAACACACGGGGAGATGGGGACTTGCTGACCACACCGAGAGGTAATCACCATCACGCCGAGGATAGCTGCTGGCCTCCTCCCACCTGCATACTGAGTCCCTGGCACCACGTCTTCACCTGGTCTTTGTTCTATCTGGGTCTAGAACAGACTCGCAAAGCAACACCTTGTGCCCTGGAAACTGGACCCAGGATTTCCCAAAGGCCTGTGCCCCCACCCCCTCACCCCCATCCCCGCAGCTGGGTGTGAGGGACAGCTCAGCAAGAAGACGTTTTCAGAGAAGAGCCACTGCAGGGGCCCAGGGCCACCTCGGTCCCCTTGCAAAGCGAGCAAGGTCGTGGGAAAGGCCCAGCGGAGGCTGCTGAAGTCAGGGCGGGGCTTGAGGCTGAGAAAGTCCCTTCCCAGGCCCTCCACACCTCAGACCAGGGCTTCTGAAGCAAGAACAGGAAGTCCTCCGCAAGGCGGCTTCCTGCAGAGCCATGCAGGGGCCTAAGAACCACGTCTCACTGGGACGCAGAATTCAGCAGCTTGCAAGCACCCTAGCTCGAGCAGCTCGCCCCACCCACAGGGTCCAGGTGCCCCCCCCCCCCCCCCCCCCCCCCGTCTCCAAGGGCCAGCCAGAGACCCGGGGGAGGGGGGAAAGACCCCCCCCAACCGGCTGCTCCCTACGCCGCGTTTCCACGGGCTGTCAGCAGCCTCACCGCCCTGCAGCCAGCCACGTGCCAGGCAGAGAGCCAGGAGCCACATCTACAGCCCCTCCCTTAAGCCTCCAAGCCCCACTCTGCAGACACGGGAGCGCAAGACGTGAAGTCCTTGCTCCAGGTGGTGGCGCGGGGCTCCAGTCCAGATCCACCTGCCCTGAGACACCTCTCCCCGACACGCTTCCTGCCCTATCAGAACACCCAGTGCTCTGTGGGACGGCCCGCGTCAGTGCCGAGCTGGCAGCTTTCATAGCAGGCCTGGGGTGGCCTGCCCTTGAACGCCCCAGGGACGTGCCTTTGGGGCTCAGCCCCCGCCTCCCCTCAGAGTCCCTGAAATAGCCCTCTCACCGCCCTGGCCATTCTCTGGGACACTATCCTGCCTTATCTTCTTGTGGCAGTCAGCAAGGTCACAACCTGAATGGCAGGCTCACTTTGCAGCCTGTCGCCCCCATTGGAACAGAGGCCACGGTGCGGGGCGGGGGGCACATATGTCACTCACGCTCGCTGCAGTAGCCCAGCGTCTGCCACACAGCCCAACAGGCGGGCACACCAGTGAGCAAGGCGGCCAGCACCCCACAGCTGCACACCCTGGACTCCCATTACACTTTCCCCCGTTTCACACCACCCGGCCTAGGCAAGAATTCTCTACCATCTCCAGCAGCCGCACGTGGGTGGACGGTAGAGACGCCACCTGCTGTGACCACGTAGGCTGGCCACAGAGCCACCGGAGCAGCCTGCGTACATAAACCATGAACCTTTATCAAACCCCGTGAACAGGTGCTATTTTAGAGTCGCGAAAAGAGGTTGGTGAAGCCACTTGCCCACGTCCACACTCCAGGAATTCTGGAGTTTGTATCAACTGCATTCCTCTGGCTTTTGTCACTACAAAGACATACCCAGGACAGGAGGTTTATTTCCGCTCACAGCTCTGGAGGGTCACAACCCAGGACTGGCTGGTCCCATTGGCCAGGCACTGGGTGCAGGCGTTCTTGCTGGCAGAATCCCAAGGTGGCACAGGGCACCATACAGCAGGCAGCAGGCAGCCCAGGTGTCTGTGTCGATGGGCTCTTATGAAATCACCCAGATGTAATCCTGGGGCTCCCCCTTAACAAGCCAACCCAACCCCTCCTCCCGCCTGGGAGTTGATGGCACTTAGGGTCAGCCCCTTCCAGGTGCCGTACACGGGCACCGTACAGACAGAAAGCTCCTAACAGCTGTCTCACGGCAGGAGTGTCTGCTGGTACAAGGTAGGTCGCGGTGCAGGGCAAGCCGGGGCCAACGCAAATGTTGATTTTGGAATGCAAACTGAAACGAGGCTCGATCCTCGGCTGACAGGGACAAGTGCCAAAATCTTTCCAGGAAGAGGACCCAGAGTATGGGAGAAGAGCAAGGGGGGCAAAAAATGGCGAGAGCAGAACTGAACCAGCCCCAGGGCAGGTGCCTTCGGAGCAGGCAGAGCGGTCAGCCATAGCGGGCAGGGTCTGGACACTCAGGCTGCCCAGGGTGTGTCACGCTTTCTGGTTTTGGCCAATTCCTGCTCTGCTGGCCCCCAGCTCTGATGCCACCAGACTCCTGTCCCCGCCCAGCTCCAGGAGGAGCTGACACTGCCATCCCTGCACTGAGTGCCTGGTGCCAGGACGTGTCGCTGACTGTGTCCACGCCCTCTGTGTGGTCTCTAACCCAGCTCGTTCACATCCGGCCATTTGGCCCAGGACTCAGTCAGTGTGGGATGAGCAAACCCAGGGCCTACGGAAGGGTCACTGGGGAACTAGTGATCAAAGAAGGAGAAACAGAGCCAGAACCCAGAATTCTCAGTGGAGGTGGGGAGAGCTCATGAGCGTGAGTCAGGGACACTGACCTCTTTCCCACGGCAGGCAGAGGCCAGCAGGGCAGGAAACCTTGTGCCACGTCCCCTCCATGGGGAGGCTGGTGGGGCGGTGCTCTGTGGCCTAAGAGCGCAGTGGCAAGAGCATTCTCACAGCACAGGGTGCAGGTGCGACCTCCCCTGGGAGCAGGGGCTGCACTGGCAGAGGCCCTTGCGAGACAAACTGCGCATGAGGGAAGGGATGCCTCGGCCATTCTCTTCCCAGAACCACTACCAGAGACTGCTGCCCGTGCGATCCTGCTGCCATCTGGGGGAATGAACCAGCGGATGGGAGATCTCTCTCTCTCTCTCTTTCATTCTGTCTTTCAAATAAATAAATAAATCATTTTCTCAAAAAAAATTTATTATTTGAAAGGTAGAACATCAGAGAGAGAGAGAGAGAGAGATCTTCCATCCTCTGGTTTACTCCCCAAATGGCCGCAATGACCAGGGCTGGGCTAGTCCAAAGCCAGGGGCCAGGAGCTTCTTCCGGGGTTCCCACATGGGTGCAAGGGAACAAGTACTTGGGCCATCTTTTGCGGCTTTCCCAGGCACATTGGTAGGGAGCTGGATGGGAAGTGGAGCAGCCAGGACTTGAACCCTGGCGCCCATATGGGATGCCGGCATTGCTGCCAGCAGCTCTACCCACTGTGCCGGCCCCACAAATAAATTTTTTTTTTTTTTTTGACAGGCAGAGTGGACAGTGAGAGAGAGAGACAGAGAAAAAGGTCTTCCTTTGCCGTTGGTTCACCCTCCAATGGCCGCCGCGGCCAGCGCGCTGCGGCCGGCGCACCGCGCTGATCCGATGGCAGAAGCCAGGAGCCAGGTGCTTTTCCTGGTCTCCCATGGGGTGCAAGGCCCAAGCACCTGGGCCATCCTCCACTGCACTCCCTGGCCACTGCAGAGGGCTGGCCTGGAAGAGGGGCAACCGGGACAGAATCCGGCGCCCTGACCGGGATTAGAACCCGGTGTGCCGGCGCTGCTAGGCGGAGGATTAGCCTAGTGAGCTGCGGCGCCGGCTACCTAAATAAATCTTAAACATAAATAAATAAACATCCCAGCCCTCCACTCTGTCTAAAGGAGGACTGCACTCCAGTCTCCTCCCGTTCCCTCGCCCCAAGAAACTCTGGCTGCTTCTAACCTTCCCTTGACTCCAAGAGGGAACAGGGAGATGAGGCAGGCTGGGAGGGGATGGCACCCAGAGGTCAAGTGGCTCGAGCGAGCCGCGGCCTGTGAGAGACGGGAGGGAAGCTCTGGATTCAGGTCACTGTCCGTGAATTATTTATCCTCATGCCCGGCTCCGGCTCCGAGCCACGGAGACACTCAATGAATGTTTGATGAAGTCCCAGAGGGGACAGCTTTGCAGCCGTGGGAACGCCCTGAAACCGAGCAGACAGGTGTGGGGTGCAGTGAGGGCTTTGTGCCCACCAGAGAAGCACGGGAGGACCAGAGGGCAGAGGGGGAACAAGGGAGGGAGGTGAGCGGAGGCCACGGGGATCCTGAGTTTAGGGCCGAGCACTGCCTCTGGAGCTGGCCCTTGAAACCTCAGAGCCCTGAGCTTCCCACGGGGCTGATCAAGGCTGAAACACAGCAGCAGGATCCAAGGTCCTCTGTGGCTCGCCAGACTGAAGTGATTCTTATTACTGACAGGAAGACCAAAGTCTAACTTCTGCAGAATGATACACATGGAAGGGGCAGGGTCCTGGCGTCTGAGGTTTTCTCTGCTTCAGAAACAGGAACTCCTGGACGGAGGTCGCTGCTGCCCCAAGAACAGCCTCTCCTGGCCGCCTCTCGTAGAACTGTACAGCCTCAGGGCTGCGGGGTGCCAGACTTTGGCCGGCCCATGTACACTCCCTCTCCCCAAGCTCTGAGGACGGCGTCCATGCCCCAAGGGATAGAGCCACTAACATAGCAGCCCTCTGGTCCCGTCCTGCAACCTGTTCCCACATCTCTGCTCATTCCAGTCCCCTGCTGCCCAAGGCCTTTTTCCAACCTGCTCCCATAGCCATAAAAAAAAAAAAACCACTCGAAGAGAACCCTGCTGCTCATCCTACCATTAGCCAATGACATCCCCAGTGAGTGCATTTCATGCCCCAAGGGTCTCATTTTTGGAAGGCAGAGGCTCCGAGAACAGGAACTATCTTTATGTCTCCCTACACGAAATAAAGCTAACCTAGATTTTTAAAGATTTTTCTCCTAAATTCCTCTTTGCATAATCTGCATTCTAGCTCTTTTGTAATCGGTAATCCGATAGCACTGTATTGCATTCACCTGGTGCTGTGTAGGGCCTGCTTTGCCGGGGGCGGGGGGGGGGGGCCGATAGCAGCTGTATCTTGTAGGCTCGGAGCAGGGGCTCAGCCACACAGCCCCACACAGCCTTCTTTCTTGGGAAATCCCAAGGCTGTCTGTGGCTCACTCTGGCTCCCACCCAAGCTTTCTTATAATAAGGGAACTGACATTCAATGTGCCAGATTTGCAGTCCACGAACGTTAGGCAGAAAGTACCGGGGCAGCATCAGAAACAGAGACTCAAACTCATGAGACAGATGGGGGCATGAAAACGCTCCCACAAGACGGACCCGGGTGCCGATTTTGGAGGAAACTTCCTGTTCAGTTCAGGGAAGCGCTGGGAACTCCCAGGACAAGGATGAAATAAACCTGATGTCTTAAGCTGAAAAGTTCAAGGCACTCGCCATCTTGTTTATTGGGCATCACGGAATAATCAGACCAAATGCATCACCGTATTTGACTTTTCCTTCTCTCCTTTGGGTGAGAGCCTGGACAAGGCAGGAGCTTCTAGGAGCTTCATCTAGGAGATCGCGACCTGGCAAGCACAAGACCCCAACCAGGAGCCACAGGTATTCCACTTGGAAGTCACTTAAGCTCCTTACTGGGTTGTGGAAGGGGCCCAGGGACAGAGCGGGCTTGAAGGCGTGTGACAGGCGTATGTCCACCTAAGCTCTGGTCAGCACCCCAGCACCCAGGGCCGAGCAGTGCCCGCAAGCATGCAACACGGCGGACAGCTGTAGGCCACAGGGGCATCCCATCTTGGATAGGCCCCAGTCCAGCTCCCCAAAACCCCCGGTCCATTCAGCAGCCCAGATCTGGCTTCCTAGGCCTGTCTTACTGAGACGGGAATCCGGGAAGGAGTCAAGAATCGGGCCCTGGAGTTCGCACAGCCTCCCGCCTCTCCCCTACTCCCCTTTCCCAAGTGCGAGCTCACCAGAACTTTCTCTCCACTCCCTTCTCTCCCCTCTTCACCTCTGTTCCCTTCTCTCTCCCTCTTCTCAGCCCAGCTGCGGCCCTCTCCCCCTGCCCCCTGCAAGGTTTCAGACTGGGGACCGCGGAGGGGGGTGGGCTGCACTAGTGCCGGGACGGGACCTCGGGAAAGGCCCCACGGTCCACGGGGCGCAGGATGAGGGAAAGGCGCTGCTGGCCGGCTGTAAAAACAGAAGGCCATTGAGTTGAACGTCCGCAAGTAACCTCCGGTGCCGACGACCTGTTGCCAAGCCAGCCCAGCGCTGCTTAATCCACCGGTCCCGACCTGAGCTTGGCAAACTCAGGCCCGTTCTCTTCCCACCAGCTCCCGACGGTCGGGGTGGGTCCCGCTAATCCTCGGGAGCGTGGGAACCTGAGCTACCCGGCGGTCCCTCGAGGCAGCCATGGCGGACCTTCTGGGATTAGGGTCCTAGCGGGCGCGAGCCCCAGTCCGGGACCAGCTTTCCCTCTCCGCCCGTGGGGCTAGCTGGAGACCGCAGAACGCGCGCTGACTCCCACACATGGCTGCCGTCTCGCTGACTCTTCGCCCTGGGGTGGCCAGGGGTGGCCATCTTTCACGCTGGGGGCGCCCAAGCCCTGGGGTCAGAGCGCCCTCTTTGGGGAGTCTCTGGTTCCGAGCGGAAACAGCGGACGCGTGGGTCCCAGCGCGCGCGCGCGCGCGACAGATCCTGCACGGCTTCTCCACCACTGGGACTTTCCCGCCGCGCTGCCTCCCCGGAGTCCCAAATCCGACCCCGGCCCCAAGGCTGCCCAGCTGACCCAAAGCAGGGTTCCCGGCGGGGGACGGGCGCCGACGGACACTCTCCCCTTTCCCCGCGGACGCCCAACGCTCCATCCAGCGCCCAGGCACCCGGGCTCCTGACTCCGCCCGCAGCACAGAGGGCGGCTGGAGAGCCCCCAGACCCTTACCGTAGCATCTTCTCCCGCGTAGTGCCCGATGACCCGGTGGCCACCCGGGTGCCGGTGGCACCACTTGGTGACGTTGTAGACCTTGCGGTCGACGACGAGCCACTTGTCGGTGCGCAGGTTGTGCTTCTGAATCTCCTCCCAGCTGTAGGTGGGCATGGGCGTCTCGCGCTCGGGGGCCCCCTCGCCCTGGTTTCCCCCCTTCCCCATGTTGCCTGCCCACCCGACGCCCCGTGCACGGCGGCCTCCCCGCACCCGCTGCTCGCTGCCCAGACGGCTTCCTCCTGGCCGCGGTGTGCGGCCCGCGCCCTTCTCGCTTTCGGCTTTTGTCTTCTCCTACTCCTCCTCCCACCGCGCCCCCTCCCCTCGCTCTCGCTCCTCCTCGCCTCGCCTGCGCTCGGGAGTATCCCTGCTCTCCCTCGGCCTTATCCCTGGCTGCCCAGTGCCCCCCAGCGGTCCTCTTCCTCCGCCCCGCCCGCTATGGACTTTTGCCTCCAGCAAGAACTCCCGGGTAGCTCAGGGCCCCGACGCCTCCTCCGCCCGCCCCTCAAGCCCCCCCGGCCCGGGGCTCCGCATCCTCCCGCGTTCCCCGCCGCCTGGGTTTCCACAGTGATCAGCAGAGCGCCTGCACCAATCAGGGCGCGTCGCCCCGCCTGCCATTGGCCCAGGAGGATCTTTCGAAGGCCAGCGGGCTGGAGCGGCGGGTCCGCGGCTCCCCCGCCCGCCGGCGTGGAGTCGAGCCCTGCTGCGAGGCCGGCTACGTGTCCGACCTCCTCCCTCCCCCGCTCCAGCCCCGGGCGCCAGAGGAGATCCCAAAGAAGCGGGGCGGGCGAGCAGGGGCGGCGGCTGGGCTTTGCATGCTCCGGGTCGGGCACGCGCGCGCGCGCGCGCCTGGCGTCCCGGGGGGTTGCACCTGATGCCCGCACAAAGAAGGATCCGCCGGCGCCGGAGCCGGCTTGCGGGCGGGTGGCGCACTCCCGGGCGGGAGTGGTGAGGTGCCGCCCTTTCCCTGCCCTGCTGGAATGGGAACTCCAGTATCTCACATTGTCTGGCGCCCTCCTGCAGCCTTTTTGGCCACAGGCTGTTCCAGGGCTTCTAAACCTCTAATTAGACAATCTTAGAAAAGAATTGCTTGCGGAACCTCTGCTGCGCTTGTGCTGAGCGCCTGGTTAGCGGGGGAAGAGGAGGCGCCTGGGGGTGGGAGGCAGGGTTGCCAGGATGAACCCAACCGTCCTTGCTCTGGACTTGCGACGCTCACAGCAATACATTTGATCTACCGGGGAGAGTTGTTTGTATCCACTCCAGGAAATAGACCTGGGGGGGAAGACAGGCGTAGGGGGCGGGGATTAGGGCGGGGCGAGGCTTCTAGGCACGGGGGCACAGCGGGGCCCCTGCCGCGGGCTGGGTGAAGCTGTGTAAGACAGCCAGTCAGAGTCCGGGGGAAGGGGGCCTGTCTGGATCTGGAAGGCTCATAGGGAATGAGTGGGAAGCAAAGATAACCCAAGGAAGGTGGGGTGCAGAAAGCTCAGGAAGCAGGAGTTCTGGGGTCCCTCCGTGTCCATGGGAGCTACAGGTCCCTGAGTGTGGGCACTCCCTACTCATGCCACTCTCACTACCTCCCTGGGAGGGAGACAGCATCCGTGTTGTCCTGGCTCATGGAGAGCCTGGGGCAAGAGGGGGGAAGCAAACAAGCATGGTTAGCAGGTGGTCCAGCTGGGCCACTTCTGGGCTGCACACTGCCCGGCTCCTAGGGGCCACTGGCAAGGACCGATCTCATGCGGGGGTGCAGGAAGGTCACTGTGGCCAGATGGGATCCCTTGCGTGCCATTGGGACTGTCCCGACCTGCAGAACTTCTTGCATGGTTACTTACACCTGCTGGTGTCAGCCCCAAGCACCCTTACATATTCTCACAAACTTCGGGCACGGAGAGAGCAAGGTCTCTGGCTTTGAGTAGAAACAGGACAAAGGAAGGGGATGAGGAAAGCACCCGGAGAGTTCATTTAGAGTTTTTCACAAGGTGGACAAGTGCACAATGCACAGAGAACCATCATGCAAGTTTTCACAGGGCTGTGGAGCTCAGAGGAGGGAGTGGTGTCTGAAAGGGAGATGCAGGCAGAGGGGGCAGGATGGGGACCCAGCGGGGATGGGACAGGGCCTGAGGTTTCAAGCAGGTGCCAGCATGGCGCTAGCCAGGATAGTTCCCGACAAAAGACAAGACTGACGGAGACCACAGTGAGGCATACTGGGTGAGGCCAGCTGTGGGCAGGGTTCAAATCGGCCAAAGCCTCCGATGCCTCCGGGAAAGACCGGGCTGGCGCACTCTACCCTGGAGGAGAGGTGGGGCACCTTGGAAGGTCATCACGCAGCAGTGTGCTCTGGGCAGACCTGTGACGTGGGCTGCGGGTGGGATGAGACGCAGGGGAAGGTGACCCGGACGCTGCCTTGCCCCTCCTGCCCTCTTCCTGCTCCTCTGTTGACTGGGATGGAGAGATGCGGCTGTGTGCTAAGAAAGCACTCCACAGTATCCAGGCCACCCCAGAGCCACTTGGGCACAGGGGTGACTTCAGACAGGGACAAGGTTCCCATGACTTTCTTTGGCCCCGCAGAATTGCAGAATTCCTCCCCACCACCCCCGAGCAGCACCGATGCCCAAGCTTCCTGGGGAGCCTGCCAGGACACCACTGTGACCAGTGTACTTTATCAGGGACAAAAGAGGCTGGCCTGAGTGGCTTGCAGCCCAGGTTCCCAGCCAGCCAAGTGGGTGAAAGGCTGAGCCGTGTGGGGCGGTGCTCAGAGAGACGAGGCTTGCAGGGATGCGGCCCCGCTACCTGGTCCAGGAAGGCAGGAGGGAGGCTCCCCAGCCTGTCTTCCCCTCGAGGAGCCACGTGTCTGCAGGGAGACTGGTGCACGCTCACAGAGCAAAGAGGCTGCTTCCTCCCAGGGACAGTAAAAGTGAAAGGCGCCCTCCAGGCAGTCAGCAACCCAGAGGCCGCAAGAGGGGTTACACCGAGGACACAGCACCCTGAAGCCAGAGAGTCAGCAGAATCAATGCTCTTCCTGTTTCTTTCCCGTTGGTAAATTTGGCCAAGTCACCTCATCTTTAAGAAAATCTCCCAGCTTGCTTTTTTTCTCAAGATATCACTGCTCTCTTTCATAGGAGTCAGCCCTCTCTGGATCCTAGTCTTTCTTCCTTTTTTTTTTTTTTTTAAATTTTAGATTTTATATCTTTATTGAAAGGCAAAAAGACAAAAACAGACAGAGGTCTTCCACCTGCTGTTTCACTCCTCAAATACCTGCAACAACCTTGGGTGGTGGGCCTGGCCGAAGTCAGAAGCTGGGAACTCCATCTGGGTCTCCCACATGCTGGCAGGGGAAACTTCCCAGCATGCATGTTTGGAAAAAAGCTGGAATCAGAAGCAGAGCTGGGACTCGAACCCAGGCACTGGATATGGACCACAGGCCATCCTAAGTGGCATCCTCACGGCTGTGCCGGACAACTGCCCCTGGCCAGCTTTCTGTTCCATTCACTTCTCAGCTCACTATGACCCTCTCCAGTTCTGTTAGAATGACAGCAGTGATGGCCGGCGCTGCAGCTCAATAGGCTAATCCTCCACCTGTGGTGCTGGCACCCCAGGTTCTAGTTCTGGACGGGGCACCGGATTCTGTTCCGGTTGCCCCTCTTCCAGGCCAGCTCTCTGCTGTGGCCAGGGAGTGCAGTGGAGGATGGCCCGAGTGCTTGGGCCCTGCACCCCACGGGAGACCAGGAGAAACTCCTGGCTCCTGCCATCGGATCAGCGCGGTGCACCGGCCGCGGCGGCCATTGGAGGGTGAACCAACGGCAAAGGAAGACCTTTCTCTCTGTCTCTCACTGTCCACTCTGCCTGTCAAAAAAAAAAAAAAAAAAGAGAGAGAGAGAGAGAGAGAGAATGACAGCAGTGCCTCCATCGGTCTGTCATGGGCCCAAGCGCCCGCCCAACGTCAGATCCAGGGTGAACATTCAGTAGATGCTGGTTCCTCTTGGGACTTCCTTCCTCGTGACAGGGCGTAAGGGAGCTACGACTGCTCCGTCTTTGCAGATGAAGACCCAGGAGTTCAGGGAGATAACGCAGCGGTCAACCTGCCAACAGCAGCCCCAGTCCTGGAACACAGCCCCAGGCCCTGAAGGCAGTCCTCTTGGCCTGAGGTCAGCAAGCCTCTTGGGACCCTCCCTGGAAGATTACCAGCAAGTCTGGCGCCTCTTCTCAAACCCCTGAGCAGTGTCTGGTAGGCACCATTGCAAAATGCCTTGTCCCTTGGTGCTCTGATAACACACACCCCAATTCTACTGGTAGAGCACCCCAGTTCTGGACCCCTCCATTTGTTCCTCTTCTTCTTCCTCTTGGCCTTGGCTCAGTCAACCTCTTCTCCTTCAGGGATCACATGTGGGATGCATCTGCACCCCAGAACCTATGTCGCCAGCACCCTCTCTTTCCCAGGGCCCCACCACCAGAGTGCAGGCTCACAACTCGGGTGCAACATAACCTCCCTAAGTTGGGGAGGGGTTCCCACCTCACGTGTTCTGTGGGCCTACCCATGGTGACCCGTCAGTTTCCCTTGCAAATCTGAATTTGTCATCGTCTTTCTGGCCCCGAACCAGCCCATCGTTCCAGCTTCCTCACTAACGGCACTCGATCTCAGAATTCCAGAATGGCCTTTGCTTCTGCTCTTTCGAACCCCAGGGCAGCAGGAGGATCGTAACTGCGTTCAGCAGATCCTGCCTCTAACAGTTTCCACTCTGCCCCCTTGTCCCATTACCTCCGCTACTGCCCTGGCTCAGGTCCCTCCGACAGCCAACCCTGGCACACACCACGTCTGGTGATCACTGTCACTTCCCCTGTCCCCCGACTTTCAGTGGCTCTTCATTGCTTATTGAATCAAGCAGGGAGGGAGGGGATGAGGAAGGGAGACATGTAAATATTAAGAGTGTCCTTGGCCGGTGGCGTGGCTCACTAGGCTAATCCTCCGCCTAGCGGCGCCGGCACACCGAGTTCTAGTCCCGGTCGGGGCACCCGATTCTGTCCCAGTTGCCCCTCTTCCAGGCCAGCTCTCTGCTGTGGCCCAGGAGTGCAGTGGAGGATGGCCCAAGTGTTTGGGCCCTGCACCCGCATGGGAGACCAGGAGAAGCACCTGGCTCCTGCCTTTGGATCAGCGTGGTGCACCGGCCGCAGTG